TGTCAATAAAAAGTTAAAAAATAAGCTCTTATTTTAGTACTAAAATGGTTTTGAATTTGGGATGAGAGTCTCAAAATTTGTTCTTACCATATTTTTATTATTATATTACAATTAATCTTTAGAATATAGGGCCCTAAATTACGTAAAATCATCTGGACCCCGAGACGAATGTCTCTTTAATATAAAGGAGCCACAGCCTTGCATACTATATGATATAGTACTGTACCAACAAACGAAAAATATATTACAAACTATGTTTATTTTTTATTTTAGTTTCAAAAAGAAACTATTTTATACATATAATCTTGATAGAAACGTTATTTTATGTGCTATGCTATGTACATGTGAACTAAAATTCGTTAAAAAAAAAAACCGTTACATATAAAGTAGTGATTTCTAGTTTAGTCGGTTTTTGGAGACAAAAATTTTTAAAAAAGTTTGCTATAGATTTAATATAGAAATTTTTCTGTTCTTTTTTGATAAATCAATACGCAATACATGTTTTAAAGATTATTTATCTTCCAAATCACACAACTATTATAAAAAAATATAATTTATAATAGTTGTGTGATTTGGAGAACAAATAATCCGTCACACGCAACCTGATACAGAACAAATTGGCTAGGCAAGTATGATTCCGGAACTTTTGTCTTGATGCCGTCAGACGCAACCAGAGGTTGTCCCCTTCTTTCACTGTCATGGTTGTTTGCTTATGTCTTTGCGGCACGCGGCGGCGACTGCTAATCTTTAGTGGAATTATGAAAGGATTCAATTCTAACGGATTTGGGTTTCTCGTTTATAGACTCTTGTTTGGTAATGGGTTTTATTCGCCCATTAACTCTCAAGAGTTGGATACCTAGCCACGTCTATCCTGAAATTGTAGGTTAGATCCACTAGTTAGTAGTGAATATGATATATATAAATAAAGATAATTAAAAGTTTTTTTAAAAAGGTATGGATGGATATTCGCGTATATTTACACAGTGACGCACGTGTGATTTCAAATAATCGGTGGTGCGCGTGTGTGGGGTGGTAATTGCGTGTAGCAATGGAACACCGTAAGTACTGTGAAAGCGACCAATGAGAGAAGACCTTACTGTTTGCATAGTATATAAATGTCACGTCGCATCTCCAACTCACATGGGTCCCGCAAGGAGTTTTGATCTAACGGCTGGAAATGAATTCCTTGATTTCATAAAACCTATCATCGTACACCGTTCACTTCCGCCTTCATAAAAACTTTTCTTTTCTAGGGACAACCATACACTGTCCTATTCTTCTTCGTATGCATTTTATTTTTTAAAAATTTGTGTATTGACGTCCAAAATCTTTCCAATACTTACTTTATTAATATACCCATCATTCCA